AATACAGATGGTGGCAGCAATAATACTCTCAAGTGGAATATGCAAAAAAAAAAAAAAAAAGAATTTGTGCTTAATTATACACATCAATATACTAACATCAAAGATGATAAGTACACAATTCATGCTCTTTTCAGAACTAGATTTTGTGTTTTATAGGGTTAAAAAGTCTGCAAGTCATCTAGGAAAATTCAATGAAATCAAAGATAAACAACAATTTTAATAAAAACATATCAAATAATCAATCTATGTAGATATTAGTGCTTGTAAATAACAATTTTATGCTGAATGTTTATTGATACAAGTAGGTAAGTAATGACAATGAGGATTGATATACCCCCCAGAACTCAAAACTGAGTTTTATCCACTATACCTTTCATCTAGAAATTACAGATGTTTAAATATATGTGTCTATTTGTTAGCAAAGGCTGTAGGAAAGTATAGTTAGTCTTTATTTAGAAAATATGGATGTTTTGCTAGTTAATGTTCCTGTTGGAATAGTGTAGATTGACCATGAGGTCCCTCAGTATACATTGGTTAATGCCTGGCCACCCTTATAAAAAATGTTTGGCTACGCCTCTGGGTGGCTCCCAGTTTGACTTTGGGGGTCTAAAGTTTTAACCTGACAACAGCCAGATGCATGTCTCGCTCCGCCTAGCTCCACTCACATACGTATGTGAGCGGAGCTAGGCGGAGTGAGACATGCATCTGGCTGTTGTCAGGTTACTAAAGTTTGTGTTCTGCACAGATGTTTCTGTAGGTTACACTATGTATTCCTGCCAATATGTTGTAGTATCTTAAGCCCTGCTGTGCGATGGTGAATTGTTTCTGGGGCTTTTTTTGTAAAGCCTGGTATGGTATATCTAAGCTTCCATTGCTCTTGTGCCCAGGGTCTGCTCCTTTACCCATAGATATCTATGCCTTTACCTTTCTAACAAGAGGTATGCCACTCACAATATGGCGGAGAAATTGACCTACAGCTCTAAACGACGTCACATCTTCGTGTAAACCAATCAGAATCCGGTAAAATTTGATCCGCTAGCAAAATATCAAACTGGGATAAAGAAAGCAAGACGAGTTTCGATATAATTTAAAGTTTATTACAATAATACAACGTGTAACAAATATGTGGCTTTTTATTTATACATGACGTCCTTGTCATCCACTATTAGCTGCTGTAATCACTTACTGTTATCATATTAGCATAGTTAGGCTACGGAAGTAGACGCTGTAAAAAGCGCAGCGCGCGGCTCAGCCCTTCATTGTGACAGCTTTAGATTCTCTGAGCGACTGCTGCTATCATGGCACGGGTAGAAACGTCCCCCAGCAGGCCTTACCACCTGGTCATCTTCGGAGCCTCTGGCTTCACGGGGCAGTTTGTGGTGGAGGAGGTGGCCCGGACGGTGTCCGAGGGTCCGAACGGGAACCTGAGGTGGGCAGTGGCTGGAAGGAGCAAGCAAAAGCTGGAAAAAGTTCTGGAGCAGGCCGCTGGAGTCCTCAGTATGTTTCCGAATCACATTTGTTATGTTTATGTGTTTTTAATCATTGTCACCAGAATGATTAGAGTGTATTGTAGCTGGAGTGTCAGGTTTGAAGCAGATATTGCTTAATTCTAGATGATGAAGCAATTCCTACAGGGTTAGGAGGACCAGTTGGACATGACTTTGACCTTTTTATCAACTGTTATTCTTCTTTCTTATTAAACATCATTTATCTTATTTCTGCCTGTTATTACAAACTTTATCACAGTTTTAAATTAATAGATAAACTTTATCTTGCTTCCTTTTAAATACTTAAATAATAGTTTCTTTATATGTGTCACTTTTTCTTGACCACAAATAATTTTAAAGTTCATTTATTCAATAACTAAAGTTACTAAGGAATAGTAAATCTTATACAGGCTGATGCTTTTAAGTTTTTATTTCTGTTTATTATGATAAGTATTTCTGCTTACAGTTAATAAAAGCATGACATGGGATTTCTTAGATTAGCATTATTTTGCAAACCAACAAAAATGAACATTTAATCCAGAAATGTGGACTTTAATAAAACTTTTCATTCCTACTTACAGGGTAACCATAAGTTATGAGGATACATGTGCTGCACATGCAACTAGTAATGGAGCAAAAACTTTCTTTAAAACACTCTTTATTTTGTTTAACATCTTGGCTTTATTGTTGAAGAACAATCAGCATATTATTTGGCATTAATTAGCTGCATGGCTTGTTTAGTGAAAAGAAACATGATTAAAAATCAGGAAACTATGCTTTTACAGTCGTTGAATCGGTTTAAAATCATTACATTGCAGATTTTCTAAAAAATCAGTGAAAGTGTTTTTGTGATTCTAAACACAAACAGCAACTCTAATCACTTTGATATAAATATCACATGAAACAACCTTTGGGAGACTGATCTTATCCAAGCATGGAAAATCCAGTCTAATAGCAAATCTTCATCAGGGAGCTGATCTGCTGTCGTACTGGCAACAAAAGTTTTCCAGAGGATCAGAGTCTAATGCTCTGGTCTCCTCCTCTTCAACAGCTGATGGAACATACCAGCTCACTGTCCCGCCCCCCTCTGCCTCAAACACACTCTCACGTCCTGATACAGCAGATTGATTCATCACAGCTGTGCAATAAATGGTAGTGTTTGCGACTTTTGTCTCTCTGGACATCTATCATTGTAGGTTTAACATAAAAAAAAATATTTAATTATAAGTCATCACCTCAGATTTGTAGCTTTGCTTTGGGAATAAATGTAAATTGCAACTGTTTAACGAACCAAATGAACCAACTTAAATGGTCATTGAACTTAAAGAAAACTTTTTTTGTGTTTATCTTCCCCAATGGTCTGCAGCAATGGTCTACATTTATTGATTATTATATGAATCATGTACCGATAGTAGGTTTATTCCAATGACTCGCGGTTCATTTCTGTTCATTTTCATGGTTAACACTTACAGCTAGGGTTGTCAAAAGTATCGATACTGAAACTTTGTATCTGGATACAATACTCGTTTTTAAAAGTATCGATACAGTGCTACCACCAGTGGCACCTAAGCAGTCAATCATCTAAAGTGCAGAATAGAGGACAATGCACTTTCAGAACACTGTGTGATTAAATAATTCTGTGCACTTTTCAGTTTCAGACTTTTTTTTTTGTAAGAGGTGCAGCTGCTGAGAATTATTTTTGTTTCTTAACCAGTTTGGCTAGTGTCATTGTTGTGTGCAAAGCATAGCCAAGGAAGGAACTTTTAATTTTATACGTTTTTTATCAAGCTTTCTTAATATTGTGCACAGCATACAACCTTTATTGTATTTATTTATTGTATTTTATTTATTAATGAAAATATTTCTGTAGAATTTTGGAGTCTTTGTTTTTATCCTTGTGGTATCGAAAATGGTATCGAGTA